TCTGCTCTCTCTCTCTCTCTCTCTCTCTCTGTGTGTGTGTGTGTGTGTGTGTGTGTGTATGAATAAATGTGGGTTGCAGAAGGACCCATTGTGGCAAGGTGGGTGGAAATCACTTAGACAGTGAAGCAGCACTGATCTGTCTGTTGTCTTCTGGCCTCCTCAGCAAACTACCATTGAGAGTGGGTATACATGTGTCTGCAATTTCCCGCAAATGAACGGCTATTTGGGGTGCCTTAGTTATTTCAGTCCTTTCAGAAGATATGGACTTAAGTGAGTTGGTCGAGGTAGAAAAAGCAGGGAAGACCAGAATCCAGGTCTCATGATTCCAGTCTAAACCTTATTCTCCCAGACAATATTGGCTCATTGCTCTCTTTTTTTGATACTGGGGATTGGAGTTGGGCCCTTGGGCCCTTGGGCTTACAAGGCAGGCAGCAGAACCACTGAGCTAAATCCCTGGCCCTGGCTCGTTGCTCTTATACTGTACAGTTTCCCCTTATTTCTTTTACTATGTCACTTCCTTTGAGTCTGATTACATGATGTGTTTTCCCGTGATATTATAACATTAGGATTGTTCAATGGAATATCACTTCATTTTCACTGGAAAAAAATTTAAATGTTAGCAAAAGGAAAATTGGGAACATGAGGAAGATTTTATATGAAATTGTTTCCACTCCATGAAAGGGACACTGGTTTCATAGTGGATTGTGCAGAAATCTATGCAGTAGATGAGCCCAATTAATACTTTCTCCAGATATTTCTTTTCCTGTTAATGTCACTACAAGCTTCCACACAGTCACAACTTAAAAGCTGCAGCAAAGCTGATTGCAGAAAGAACCCACTTTGGTTCTTAACAGCTAATCCCAAACTGGATAAGGACAGAAACAAAACTTAGCTTTTGAAACTATGGACAAGAACTCTAAATGTTGATAAATCTTCATGGGTAGTTGTACATGTTACATATTAGGTTACAGCGGGCACTTGTAGTAAATGACATTGCAAGCACAATTAGCCTCTTCATAAAGCCAAGCACAATCAAAAAGCAACTGTATGACAGGAAGTTATCTATTACTCATCAACTTTAAAAAGTGGGAAAATCCTACTTATTTTATTTATTTATTTATTTATTTTTTTTTTTTGAGACAGGGTCTCACTATGTAGTTGAGACTGACCTGGAACTCACTATGTAGCCCAGGCTGGTCTCGAATTCACAGAAGATCCTCCTGCCTCAGCCCCCTGTGTGCTAGGATTCCAGGTGTGTGCCACCATGCCCACCCTGCTTATTTATTTATAGATTTGTCATTCAAAATGTTTAGGAGGTGGATAAATGAGGTTACCCGGAAAAATTCTAATTTCTTCATCTAAATTTATTTCTTTTTCACAACCCCAAATTTGAAATCCACAATTTCAAAATGATATTGCAAAAGTTAGGCCACAAAGAAAGATAAGCCATTTGATTCAAGCTCATATAATTAGCTAGCCTGGCCAATGCTTTCCCTTTTTAAAAATGTTTCCCCAAATTCCTTACACAATATAATGATGCTTGCCTCTGTTTGTGAATGGAAGTGTTTGGCAAAAGTTTGCTTCCATTCACTAACTACGTTTGGCACAGGACAGGACCATGGCCATCTTCCCCAGAATTGCAAAATGAATTAAGTTCATGAGCAGAGTTAACACTTTATTGTGATTACTTGCCAAGGGATACAGTACATGCAACAAGTAGATCACACACACACACACACCCTCTATCTAAAATGTAGAAGATATTATTTCATAATTATATTGATTAGAAAGAAGTGAGTTTTGCTACAATTGCTAAACACTCTAAGATTTTTCATTCCAATAAAAATCTGCATGAAACAACTGATCCTTCAAGCTCTTTTCATTTCCATACAGTACAACTGCGCTCAATTCCTCCATCCACCAAGAATACCCTCTACCTTTCATTTTATTTGAAGTTACAAGACTCCCTCTTCCTTTCTAACTAGAAAATCTTACCTTGATTAGTAAGTGAAAAGGAACATTGCATATTTTTCATCTCATTTTTCTTTCAGAGCCCACAGAAGTAATTTTATTTTTAGAAAGTGTCTTAGAAAATGTAAAACTACCTTCACTTGTTCCCACATCTCTCCACCTCAAATAACTCGTACCTCCTCCCTACCAGTCTTATTTTAACATGCTTGATTATCAGGCTTTTAAAAGTAGGAATCTACTGTTACATTATCATATAAGACAATTGCCTTGTACAGCTCCAGAGATGCCATTCACCTTGGTCTACTTTCCCTGAATTATGCAACTTGGTGGCCCTGGTATGGGTGGAGGTTTTCAAATGGCCAAGAAGATTCTCTGAAATTACTAAATCTCGCTTTGTGTATTTCCATGAAAAGGAAAACAGAAAAAGTCTGTTCACTCTGCAGATCCTCTATCAGATTATACCTATGGCTCTCTGACAGCTTTCATTTCCTACAACCAACATTACTGTTGATTCTGTTGCCTGTGGAGAAAAATAGCAAAAAATTCATACATTCTCAAGCAAATTTGTACTTGGAGACCATTAAAAAAAGGGATTTTTCTAAAGGTGTAGGGGCAGTGAGAAGGGTAGGGGAAGGGGAATAAAGGGAAAAAATATGAGAAAATGTAAAAATGGAAATAAAGTGTTTGTAGGTGGGGAGGGGAGGAGGGGTGAAGGGAGGGCAAGGACAAGGGGAAAAAATTGAGAACCAAGACCTATTATGTAAAGGTACAAGATCCCAGTAATAAATGGAACTGTACTGTCTACCTAGAATGTACCAATAAATTCAATTTAAATTTTTTAAAAAGGGATTTTTTTATTTCAGGCTGGAAAGGAAAATAGGTGTGACTGTACTATCTACCCAAAGGTTTCAAAATAAATGGCTGTACTGTCTACCTAGAATGTACCAATAAATTCAATTTAAATTTTTTAAAAAGGGATTTTTTTATTTCAGGCTGGAAAGGAAAATAGGTGTGACTGTACTATCTACCCAAAGGTTTCACTGCTATGTGAGACACGAAATCATAAATCTTATTACCGTCAACTGGTGTCCTAATGTGTTTGCCACCCTTCAGGGTATCACAGCACCCAAAAGATGAATGTACTTCCCCAAATCTCCATCATTCTTCACCCACTGATTTAGGCTGGTAGAGTCAGGTGGGAAGGGGATCTCCCTGTGGGTCAGTCCATGTGCTTAGCTGTCTCAGTGCATGCTGGGATTGCAATGGGGGTGCGCATGAGCTAATCTGATGAGGTTGTTACCAAGGAAACTGTTGTTTCCCACACATGGCCCTGGTATTAGTGACTCCACACATACCCAACTACACTGCCTGTTACCAGATACTTTAGAGATTAAGGCCATGTTAGAATATAGGAAGAAGAAAAGAAAGGAAGGAGAAAGAGAGGCAAGGAGAAAAGAAAGGGAGGGAAGAAGTGGGGAAGGGAGGGAGCCTCAGGTATATCCATTTGTTAAGGCTTTCATCCATTGACTTAGCATGTCCACCTGCCTACAGAGCCCCTCAGACATCTTCTCACATGGCACTAAGTGGAGATACTCAGGTACTATAAAAACTAAAAGTTAATGCATTTTGGGCTATTTAATCTTTAGTCCTAAGTTTCTAAATAGATAAATAAAAATCTGAGTGTGTAAACAAAGGGATCTTGTGGACTGGTTAATGAAATATTTTCTTTGGGTGTCACCATGGAGACATATCTAAATTCATGTTCTCTACATTGAAATACAAACTTCTTGTATTGATAATTGGAAACTTTTTGAGAGAGATGGCAGATAGAAATATCCAATTGCTTCAAAGGAACACAATGCAAGTCAACTGTTACCTTGCTAACAATATTTTTTATTTGAGAGAAGGCTGAATAAAGCGTGGGGCTCTATTCCTTTAATTAAAATGTAAGTACTCACTCATGCTTTTTTCCCACCATGGTTAACTTTGCAGACCAACTTTTTTTTCCAAAAAGTAAATTACTGAGTTCACAAAAGCTATAGCATGGATGGAGGGGCATTGAGAAACACTAGATTCCGAGTCATTTACCTGTCCTCACTACTATCCCTCCAAAAGTGTGGCCTTTCATGTTAATTTCAAGCTTTGGCAGACTTACATGTCGTGCTTACATTAATCTGAGCCAGAGCAGTACTGCACAGAAATAGACTTCATCCTCTGAGAGAAACACACACAGGAACTCATTAAACAAAACCAATATGGCGCCATGTGTAGCCATGCCAGATGGACCATAGTTTTATATTCCACTGCCAGTTAGCAAGGGGGATATTTCTTATTATTCATTCAAAAGTAAAAAAAAAAAAATCACTAAACTACCCATCATAGAATTTGATCATTCTAAAAGAACAGATAGGGAAGAATAAAAGGAATAAGTTGGCATAAGTTGAATAAGCTAATTTCCAGTAGAACATTAAATATATATTAACCCTTATATATAAACTTTCTCAGGTGGTCCTATATATGATATGATCGCCGATTTCTCTCTCTTGTCCTAGCAGACATCTATTTCACCCAGAAAAATGAGCACTCAAAGGCTGTCACCCCACACAAAAGCCCCGCATTTTCAAAATGGCTACAAGATAGCAACCTGAGGTCCTATATGCCAGCGAAGAAACAGCACACAGTGACTTTCAAAGCCAGGCTCTGAGTAAACTGGAGCTCCAGCACGTTACTGCTTCCAAAACTAACAAAGACTTCAATTTTTGCCATGAGAGAAAGTGAGAAGAACCACTTGTCGAAAGGATGTGCTGGGGTTAAAAAGAGTCACCGATAAAAAGCATTTAGTTCACTGTGGTGATAAACTATGTTTAGTGAACAGAACAGACCACAAACTTTACCATGACATTTGTATCCTTGCCATGGAAGTTGGAAAATATACTGTGCATGAATTCAAACGGTCTGTCCACGCAGATCTGAAAAACAATGCTAATCAAATCTTGCATACTTTCCTTACACTTTGGGACCCAAATTCATCACCAACCATCATTCTGACAGATGACCAAAATATCTTCACATTTAACCAATGCAACCTTGCGAGTTTTAAGTGGGACTACATTGTGGGAGAAGAAAAAACAAACAGTAAAATGGGGCCCCTTTCAAGCCTCTTTTTAAAAAACAGTCTGATACAGTAGAAGCACTAAATTGTATAGTCCAACTTCTCCTCCATAATACAGTAAAATGTAGTGCTGAGCCAAAAATACCCTGCTTCAAAAAAAGTGAAAAAACTTATCCATTGCAGCTCTTTCCCTCTACCTGACTCCCACCTCCTTTGTTTTTTTTGTTTGTTTGTTTTTTGTTTTTTGTTTTTTGTTTTTTTAAGTACCAGGTATTGAACGAAGGTCCTTGCTTGCCAAGCAGGCGCAGAACCACTGAGCTAATCCCAGGAGGACTCCCACCTTTCAATACCGCTATTAATCAGTCACTCCCTTGCTGAGCTCTACTCCAGCAACATTTGCTGTTTTGATCACATCACCCTTCGTGCTTAACTCAGACATTAGCCTGGAAACGCATTATGGCCTGTGAAACAGAAGGAAGGGCCTGAGCAGGGACCCATAGGCTTCCCTCCCATCTCTTTAGGCTTCCTGATTGGAGCTAGGAACTCTGCCGTGGCTCCTTGAATAAAGAATCTGACAACAAGGCCTCTAGTCTGCACACTGTTCCTAGAAAGAAATCAAGTGTGATTAAGTAAACTCAGAGCCTGAGGGAGGAGCCAATCACCTCCCCTTCTCACCTTGGCATTGGTACAAACCGAATTCATCCCCTCTCCAGGAGAAAGGGCTGGAAAGGTGCTCAAAGGGAGAGGCATGACACAGGGTGGGTGGGACAAAAATGGGCAGAGTGAAAGAGAATTATGTGAAGTCTACTTATAAATAATGGTCCCTTGGACATTTTATAGCCTGGAAAAGCAAAAGTTGTTTAAAATCCAACTTAATTAAGTAGTCACTGAAGTGCGCATTTATTTCAAAGAATGAGAGGGACCTCAGAGAGTTTTCAGTCCTGTCAACTCTGAATTTTACAGTTGAGGAAGCTAAACTAAGGGGAGTATCACCTACTAACCCAAAAAAGTTAAGATCGTGAACTTCTAAAAGAGCTCAGCAAAAACTTAAAATGTGGTAACACATCTCTGTGTATGTACTACAGTACAGAAAATTGGGCTGGTCAGTTTCCTGCTCCTGCATGTCAGATTGTTCTAGAACTTGCCTTGGAACGTTCCACATTATACTGGGGCCCGCCTTCTGGGTCAAAAATTAGTAGTTTGTTTTACCAGTTATTCGTATGGAGGGGGACATAGCACCATAGGAGATGTGGAATTTCCAGTGTCCTCAAAATGATCTGATAGAAAATAAAAGCAAAAGCAAAACAAAACAAAAAAACCCAGTGCTTGTCTTTGTATCCAATTTCTGCTTTAATGGAAACTCCTCCTTTCTCATCTAACTGAAACGGTTCACAACTTAATGCAGAATCTTTTTTAAAAAAGCTTTGAGATGCAGTCACCGTCAGACCTGGACTCAGATTTGAGCCTCCACGGTCTTGCCGCCTGGGAACACATCCCAGGGACACCACCCTCGTGGCAATTCCCCCAACCACAAGAAAAGGAAATGCCTTTAAATCGCTCCTGTGTGTCAGCTGAAAGAAGGTTCCAGTGATCTAGGCTGGGGATTGTGGGCGGCTCTCCTGCTGGGCTTCCCTCTCCGCCAAAATAAGAAAGTACCCTGCGGCCCCAGAGGTTTCCACCCCGCCGAGGGGAGCCCTTGCGTCCCAGCGCGGACCCAGGTGGTGCCCGTGACCTCTCAGTGGCGCCGCACATCACGCGCTCGCAGCCACCCGGGGGACTGGGGGCTGCGGGTCCCTAGCGAACCTCAGCTCTGAGGAAGGGAAGGGTGGCCACGTGCAAAGCCGGCACCCCCAGGTCCTCGGCCTGGACTGCTGGTCACTGCGCCCGCTTTCCGGAGAAGCCCCCATCCGCCAGCGGCATTTAGGAGCGGCGTCTGGAGCATTTCCTTGGGCTCGAACCCGTGCAGGACACTGAGTCCCTGGGTCTCAGCGCCACGCCCACCTCCGTACCCCAACTCGCGCTCCCCCCACCCCGCACCTGAGCGCGGCGTTCCAGACAGCTACGGTGCCCCGTGCAGCCAAGGATCGGACAGCCTCCCCGCCCCGGAGGGCTTCCCCAGAAGAGCCCACTTCCTGCCCAAGCTCCCACCGGCCGGAGACGTGCGCCGGTCACCCTGGCCCCGGCCCCCACGGAGAGGTTACTGCCGGTCACCGCCACAGCGCCGTCCTCCCGCCTCCCTTGCCCGGCTCACCACAACCCCGGGCTCCCGGGGCTGAGCTACCGCACCGGAGCAGGGACGGCGAGGGAACCCGGGAGAGAGAAAAGGAGGGAATGGGAGCGCAGCCCGCGCCCAGCGGACGCCGAATCCCTCCCTGTCCTGCCGGGATCCCGCTCTGGTGACCCCTTCTAGGACCAGTGCCCAGCTGGGAGTCCCCGGTGCGCATCCCAGCAGCACCTTCCAACTTCTTCCCATCCGTAGTCTGGGTGGAAGCGGCCAGGTCTGCAGGTGGAGGGGAGCTGGAGAGCAAAACCTACCGGTGGCGGCGGCCACCCCTCCCCGGGAGGTGGTCAGACTCTGGAGCCACAAGCACAGGAGCAGCGGGGGCAGCGCTCTAATCTCCATCTCGGCGCGCGCCCTTCTGCAGAAGCTGCGCTGCGCGGCGGGTGCGCGGACGGCTGGTGAGCGGGCTGAGCCGGAGGCGGAGAGGGCTGGAGCCGAGACCCCGAAGCAGGGAAAGTCGCCCTTTAAATGGGAGGGCAGGGCAACTAGAAGGGGCAGATTTCCTTAGAGGAGGAAACGGAGGAGGAGGGGAAGGAGGAGGTGGAGGAGGAGGAGGAGGAAATGAGTCTGACACTGTTTTCACTCCAGGGCTGCTTAAGTGACTGGAAATATGCAAATAAGCCTCATCAGCTATTGGCTATAAACTCATAAGTTGCGGGGAGGGCCCTAAATTCACGTCCAAATATTTGAGCAAACTTGCAATGAGGATCAACCCTGCCAGGGAAAAGAGGGGGAAAGGGCAGAGAGGAAAACGTGCTGCTCTCTTAGGCTCCTCCTTGCCTACCCAGAGGGGTCCACTCCCCAAGGCCCCTTGTGTGGGCACCAGGTAGATCTACATTGACTTATGTAAATACTCAATAATCGCCAGTTGGCCAAGGAGAAAGAAATGTCCGTAAACGACGTGTAGCCAACAATTTAATCCACTTCTCTTGCGGAGGATCCTGATTGTTAACTTGCAGCGCCATCCCCTCCCTTAAGTCTACACGGTGGGTCGGGGGACCCTGGGACCCACATCCCTCCGCAGCTTGCGATGTGCACAGAGTGGCATTTTAACATCTGCGCGATGGATTAGTCTGTGTGGTGGAGAAAAGCCCACCTGCTCTAACTAGTTTCTAACTTTTATCTCATGCAAATCATCCTCAAATTCATTGAGGGAGGCACTTACAACATTTTGTCGTCGGATTCAGAATATCAAGGCCAAACAACTCTTAAACTATACCGAGTTCTAAATGAAAGAAGAGAGTCACAAAAGATATATGTTGTGTGGTTCCAAACCTATAGATGCACAAAGTAGATTAGTAGTTGCCTGGGGCTAAGGAAGACAGGAGCGGTTGGATGGATTTGGGGATGTTCTAAAATTACATCACGGGGATGGCTGCACAACCCTGCAAATGCATACATGCTAAAAATGACTGAATTATGCTTTTAAAATTAATGAACATTAGGCTATTTTTAAAAGTGGATTGAGTCATGCATATAAAATAAGAAAAATAAAATCACATTGGATCATGTGCCTTTCTGCCAAAATGCTAAGAATGCTTTCAAATATAAAGGATTTGCCTTAGCTATGAAAGACAGCTCTATACGTCCCACCTTATGGCTGAGAGACTGGTTCATAAAATCAGATCCTCCAAATCACTCTCTACCAGTCCAAATCTGTTCTCGTCCCTACCTCCGTAACATACACATGTAACAAACATTTGTAGGTGACACATTTAAATTAGACTCATGTTTAAAGTTTTCTTAAACAACAAAATAAGAGCTGATAATGCCCCAGTAATTCAGTTTGCTGCGCTGCAGAACAGAGTGCTGTCTTTGAACTATGCAGTGCAAAAGCAACATACTGCAACTATTAAACAGTAGTCCCCATTTATTCTGTCCTATGAAACACATAGAGACTCTTGAAACCTGTCAAGAATCAAACCCCACAGAACAATTGAGATGTGGCAGAACAGATATCCTGGATGGATCATTGTGAGTGGATATCCTCTAGGATTTACGTAGTAAATTCTAACTATAAGAAAAGACAAAAGAGGAGTCCAGTTGCTTTCCATGCACTCATGATATGAAAGACATAAACAGAAGCATAGAAATGTCTACTACCCTGTGTAGAATATTTGTGTCACCTATTTCCATGTGTAAGACCATTTCCTAGATAACCACGCCAAAGTGCCCTTCTGTACCTTTCCATAACTGCAAAACCTTATGTGATTGTAAAAGGGCAATCTGGCGCTTGGACAGGCTTTTTAAGGCTGACATGTGAGAAAAATCAAAGTACTTAAGAATCGGGATACTCTTGTGTTTTTGTCCAGTTTGGAGTGGCCTTTGCTGCTACGCTGCTTGTTCATTTGAGCTGCAGAGATTTCCAAGATGAACTCGCCCGCAGCAGCTGGGCTTGGGCAGAACAGATCCATAGCTGCTCTCCCACACAGTGGTAGGAAGGTGGGTGTGGCGGCAACGCTGTCTCCTGATTGGCTGCGCCTGGAGGGATCAGGTGCCTGAGTTCTGGCGCAGAGGCTCACATGAGCTCTGGGTCACGACTTCATGTGCGTTAAAGAAGGGAATCCCGTCCAAGCTTTGACAAGGTTATTTGGCCAAGGATAGCCTGAGGCTTGGCTTTTTCCAAAAGCGATACTTCATTTGTAACAGAATTTTTAAAAAAGATGCTAAGCATTTTATAAACATCTAAGAAAGCATTATATGTAGGGTAGGATATTTGCACCTGATAATAAAGGTGTAAGTTAAAAAATTTTGAATATAGGTAGGTACTTAGTGAAACAACTAGAATTCCAGATATACGAGAACGCATTACCCACCCATCTGTTATTCTATTTGTCGCCTATTTGTACACACTGGGCATTTTTCATCCTTTTCTTCATCTAATCCTTACACGATTGCCCAGAAATAAATAATATTCTCACTGTACAGATGAAGGAAGATGAAACTCAAAAAGGCTTAAATAACAATAACCATAAATCACAGTGTTTTTTTTTTCTCTGACAATCACAGGAGAGGGAACATGTATTCATTGTGATACATTTTAATGTTTTTGTAATTGCAACATTGTCAGAAAAGGCCGTCAAGCAGGTGGATTTTTTTGTTTGTTTGCATGCATATTTGACCGCAGATCTTAGTTTGCAGATTCCTTCCTAAGCTAAAATATGAAATTTCTAAATGGGCTCTATAGAGCATCAGTTCTGAGGAGGATCTGGTCTCTATCATAAAAAAATTATATTTAATGAAGGAAAAAATATGGTTCATACAAATACAATTTACAAATGAAAAGCCATCGTTATAAAAAATTTTATTTTTTTGACTTTTTAAATGAGAAAACATTGAACCAAGATGTTTACCAAAAGTCGCTGTTAAGGGATTTCCAACACTGTCACCGCAGCCAGGCGTGGTGTCACAGTGGGCTCACACGTTGATCTGAACAGAGATGGCATGGCTCACGCTGTCTCTGACACACTGGTGAGGGTGGGGATGAAGCCCAGGTCATCGGCTGTGGGCCTGGGGCCCGAGGATGGCGCTTTCCTCTTGGGCAGGCAACAGGTAGAGACAGTGGGGCTGCAGTCCCCTTCTTTTATCCATAACTCAAACTATCCTGAAGAATCCCAAATAACAAATACCAGGAATATTCAAGTCAGACAAAATGGAGTTCATTTGGGGAAGTTGAGTCTTGAAGCCTGGAAGAGTTAAAAGTACAAGTAAAATATTACGTTTAGTCTATTTCCTAAGGACCTCTCCCCTTTAACGGGGCTCACTTAAAGGATCAGCATGATTTTGTTTGCTTGCCGTAGGAGGAGCATCGTGCAGTGAAGGAAGAATTGCTCCAAACCAAAACGTTGCCATAAAATAATCTGGACAAATTTTAAGGACTTTAGTTGTCTGGTATTAAAGATACATAATTGCCTCTTCCAAAAATAGTTTTAAAAACCAATGACAACGGGGCCGGGGATTTAGCTCGGTGGTGTCGCTGCCTGCCTCACAAGCTCAAGGACCTAAGTTCCATCCCTGGTACCAAAAACAAACAAACAAACAGTGACAACAACAAAATACACACACACATACCTTAGAGAGAAATAAAAATATCATATTGTAATACTATCATTAAAAGATTTGCCTGAATAAAGTTAAGAAGAGAAGTAAAAGATTATTTTTAAGAAGAGAAATTTTGGGCCGGGGATTTAGCTCAGTGGTTCTGCCGCCTGCCTTGCCAAGCACAAGGACCCGAGTTCGATCCCTGGTACCAAAAATAAATAAATAAATAAATGAAAAGGAAAAGAATTTTTAAAAATCTGAAAACCAGTGTATTGCAATAGTGCATCCAGGAACAAGGCTTTCGGATGTGAAGAAGAGGACAGAACATATTGGACAGTGCTGTCAATGCACAGCCACCGGGGAGAGGGAAGAAGCCTTTTCCTAGAAGATAGTTCATAAAACCTCAAAGGGTTGCCTCACCGACATGACAAACTTGGTAATCTATTTCATTTATAAATAGGTTTCCCCCTCAAAAAAGTTTTTTTTAAAGTTTGAGTCCACGTGGGAGGTAAAAGGAGACCACCCTACTGAATGACTTGAATGCATCAGATCACAAATTCTTACTGCTGAACTTTTCACAGAGAGAAATTTAGACCCCGCATCCCAGGCCTGAAAGCTCACTTAGCAGAGCGTGTTTGTGAGGTGCCCTCTGCTGACTTGCTGGGGACACTGCCAACCTCTAAAAAGGCCATTTTTAAGAGGCTGGAGGAAGAGTTGACTTGGTTCGTTATTAAGCTGTAGTGTGGTTATTTGAGCATTCTCATCCCATTTGTTAAACTGTAAGTCATGTGAAGGAAGGCATTGTTCTTTCCATCTCTAGGGTGTGTCCAGAGCATTCAAGGGTGCTTTAAGAGGTTCTTAGTCAACAGGTGAATCAGTTACGAGGAGTAAAAGGAGATCTAGTGTGAAACGGGGAGAAAACAGGATTCTTTATTTTAAATTTTCACTAGATTTATTAAAAAGGAATCTTCAACTACAGATACGCAGGTACACACACACACACACACACACACACACACACCCTTTGCAATAGCCTACTCTGGGCAGACCCAGTCTGTACTAGAGAAATAGAGGCGAATCTCATTTGAGAGGCAGCTTTGCTTTTACTCTCCTTTCTTCCAAACAACTCTTTAGTTTAAAAAGTAACATGTTGCTGGCCAAAACCAAAAGCACAAAGGTCAAAAACACAATTACAATGGCCGGGATTTAGCTCAGTAGTTCTGCTGCCTGCCTCACAAGCACACGATCACATGTTTGATCCCAGGTACAAAAAAAAAACAAAACAAACAAACAAAAAAAACTACTAATTAAAAGTGTACATTATACCTAGTTGCATAGATTTGAGTCTTTTACTTTCTGTTTTTATAAGATTGGCTAAGGGTCTGTCAATTTTATTTAATCTTTCAAAGAACCAACACTTTTTTTTTTTTTTTTTTTTTTTTTTTTT